AACATTTTAATTATATCTTCTTCCAAGTACTGCGGTTCAGTAACCAAGGAGCTGACATTGATGCATGTGTTGATAAAGCTGCAAACATTCAAAATGAGATTAGCAAAGATTTTGAGGAAAGGGTGACAGCTAATTTTGCACACTATTCTGCATCTAATTCAGGTCAGTGTAATGATAGAATATTTTATAACTCTTGTGTCATCCAGAAGGACTTTTATGATGCTTTGGGGTAATGAACATTTGTGGTTTTGAAGAGTATAATTTCAATACTATTTTTTATACAAATACAATTATGGTTCTATAGGCTATACCCAGAAAGTGGAGGTGGGGAAAATTGATCATGTTCAACATAATTTCTTTATCTGCTTTGCTTGTAATTGTTGAATATTGTATGAAGTAATCAAAACATGTAGTGATGCTGTTTATTTCCATCAAAACATCTAAACTATATGAAATTTAAAAAATGAAAATTTAGTTTCTTTATGTTACATAGAACATTTCTAAGCACATTCCAGTGTGTTTTGGTTCTATTCTATGCTTTATTTGAAGGCAGCTGACACTCTTCTTTCGCTTTTCTTTTTGTTTGTCAAGTTTTCTTTCTTTTTTATCCACTCACTTCTCCATCTGCTTTCACTTTTGTTTGCTTGGGTCGTCTCTCATCCCAACTTGATAATGAGGAATGTGGTGTGACCCTGACCTCTATCAGCCCATGAATGACCTTCTGACTCCCCTGTGTAACCTTTGACCTTTTCTTTGACAGCTTGATTAATTACCCTGTGTTATGATTTATGAGTAAGTGCTATGTAAAAATAATAGACAACAGGTGGTCCCCTAAAAACTTTTTGTGGCATGTTTTCTTTTCTTGCCTAACTTGATGAGCTATTTTAAGTTGGAAACTTTGTGGAGCAATATGAAGTTTGGCAGTAATATAGCATTTTTATACACTTGGACACAGAAGTGGAATGCAGGAGCCTAAGAGATGTGGTGTAACTGGGATGAAAATATTACAAAGTGTTAGCAGGGTGCAGTTGCCAAAATGCACATTGGGTGAAAATACAAAAAGAAGTCAACTGACATTTTAGGCATTTCAGTCTCAGGTCACGTCTTGAGAAAATTGCTCAAATAATGGAGGGGGCATTTTTCAAGCTGAGCTGCATCTCCAACAGCTATGTTTACTTTTACGCTTCACTAGTGACTTCTGATTGGTTGTCATGACCTCATCCTACTGTTGCATCTAGGTTGTTGCAACAGTGATACATAGGTACCCTTCTCATGAAAAAGATAGGAAATAAACAGATCATACATCTTTAAAAACAATGAATAGTCATTCCTATGACCATTTTAAACATGCATAGATCTAGGTTACTAATCTAAACTCCTAGGATTCCTTTCCCTGCAGAACTAACTTGATTGTGCTTCAAATGTTTTAAATAGTTTTTTGTTTTTTAAATCAGATTGATAAAGCTCAAGAAAATTATGTGTTACAGATTTTTACTTACAAGCCAGAAAGATAGACACATAGGTCAATATATTCCACTCTAGGTTCCTGACCTCTCTGATCATATACAGCATGCTATCCTAGTGGATTAATATGCTGTGCTGAACGCTTTTAGCTCATTATTCATTTCAGCAGACATAAGAGCCTTCTTGTGTTCCTGAATATATCTCAAATATTTTTGCTGTTGCTGTCTATATTTTATTCTATATGGGTTTTGTATCTGTACACAGTAGTAGAAGATGTTATTAGGATTTTATTTCTTATTGATATCATATTTTACTACCAAGCATGCTCATGAATTTCCTGTTATCTAAGATACAAAAAGTCTTGGTATTATAAGTATTTTTTTGACATTTCTCTAAGCTTGCTTGTAATTTAATCATCAAAATTAATCAAAATGAATGAATAAGCAGGTGTATAAGATTGGAAATTAAGTCCATCCTTTAAACAGTTTCTGAAATAATTGACAAGAATTTTAACTTGTTAGCAAAAATCCAGTAGATTTTGTAATCATACAGCTATAATTGTATAGCATACAGTAAATATAATCTTATTGGATAGATTTTTGGAATGCATGAATTATATAAAATTGGTTATCCAATTGATAATCAGTTAGGACTCAAAATTTACTAAAGACTAACTTTAGTAGAGACTAGTTAGTTTATTTAATTTTAATGACTAGTTATTTAATTTTACTAATTTGTGCAGATGAACTTGAAACTTGTTGAATGCTGTATTCTACAGATAGTTGAATGCTTTTTCTACACATTTCTGAAAACATTTAACTAAAATAGTATGAGTAATGTACTATATTGTAGATGTATTTCATTTCAGATATATTTTTCACATTTAATGCTTCAATTATACCATTTATTTTCAAGGCAAATTGTTAATTAGTTGATATAGAGTTAAGTAGGCATGCACATCTGAGGAAGCAGATGTTCTAAGAATCTAAATCATATCAGCTTGTAAAATGTATATTATTGATTTTAAGGATTATTTTAACAAAGTATAGATGTGTATTATTTGTGACTGCATAAGTCTTTGTTTAAGTTGGTCTCTACATTCTGAATGTATTGATGATGTGCCAAAATTAGTTTCCTGTCATTTTGACATTAAAATGGAGCTAATTTTAAAAGTCTCATTAATAAAGAATGCAGGTTAAAATTTAAATACATTCTGATAAAATTTAAAAATATGTAAATCTTTTAAGGTGAAAAGAAAACAAAAGGTCATATTGTCAAATGCAAAATTAATTTATGATAATGCTAGGTTGGTCTCACTTTAACAGCATTGATAGAAGTTAAATTCTATTCCAGTTATATATATATATTATGTTGTATTTCTACCTCCTTTCATGTATTCAAGTTTTGTCTATTATTCATTATCTATTTTTTTCTATTTTTTCTCATATTATTTAGGGGAAGTGACTGAAGACAAATGAAGAAAAGAGTATGACATAATGTCAACTTTCTCCTAACAAGGATTATAATGAACTTTTTTAAAAAAAAACCCACCATAAAACATATTATATATTCTCCTGAAATTTTATTATGTTAATTTTATTTTTACTTTAATAAATACAGTATATTAAAAAAGTTTTTAAATCATGTCAAAGGATGGTTTGTGCTATTTAAACTTAATTGGTAAAAATCCTTTAATTTATTTATGTAGCTGAGATTTTTAAATGGATTCATTTTTCATCTGTTGATGTGTCTGTGAAAAATTGACATTATGTCCTCATAAAATTGGACAAATGAGTCATGTAATTTTCAGTTACATAATCAATAACTTAGACAAATTTTACTTCTTTGATGATTTATGTGTGTCTGTGGTTTTTTTGAGAGTAGCAAAAAATGAACATGGTTTCAGTTTCACTAATATCTGTAAAAATAATAACAAATACATGAATTTTACATCTTGCATTGTATAGAACATAACATGAATCAATATAAGGCATATCTGCAAAGGAAAAAAAAATTCAAGTCACAAACAGGACCAGCAAACTAAGATACTGAATGCACATGTACAAGTTTTTCTTGGGGGAAGGAAGCAATTATTTAAAACAGTCTCTTCAGAATGTTCTATTATTAGTAATCATGAAGGCAGGAATCTGTTTTTCAATGTATGTATTATATTTTAAAAAATAAAAGTCCCAATCCTGATTTTAATACAAATTTCAATTGAGTTTATTTTTATAGAAACTGTAGTATAATATTAATTTAATACATTAATGTTTTCTAAAAGCATACAGTATATAGAGTTCATGCTGAACAGAAAACTGTAGGGAAAAAAATGACAGGAGGAAAAAATGACAGGAGATCACTTACTCATGGTACAGAATCTAGAAAGCGGCAATTTTCTCTTTGACCTAAGGTGACCTTTTTACCATGTTCCCTTATACCATAGACAGTGAACTGAATGCCTCTAATTCACCCTGCTTAACAGAGTGCAACAGTGTTCTTTAACTTAGTTTTGGTGGGAGGAGAAGGTATAGTAGAAATTTGAGAAGGGCGTGAAAACTTGTACAGGCACAAGGAAGAGTAAGAACTTTTTTCAAATGTGATTTTAATAGCTAGTCGAGTGTGTCCAACTGTAGAAAAGCACCAAGTGACAATCTGTCTACCTGACAGTTATCACAATGCATTACAAGGTTTTTGAATAGCTACACAGATTAGAATAAAGCAACACCAAATAAAGTATCTTTTGTTATTGTCAGAGATTTACTTAGCATTGATCATCTACATAGGTGGACTTCTTTTATTCAAGTGAAGATTTTATTTTAAGTAGATAAAAAATTATTTTATTTTAGTATATTTTTTCCTGAAAAGTTATAAAGAAATTTTGAAATAAAGTTGGCAACTGGATTTGGTTTATGTGGATTTGACGTCTCTTACTTTCTTTTATGAGGATTATTTTCTTTGATATGAACAAAATGTCTCAAATTTCAGATTCTCTCCCAGTATGTTCCTTATTGATTAATAATTTTTATTCTCTGAGAAGAATCTAATATTTTTCCTGTCTCAAGTCTTTTAAATGCATTTTTAATTCCAATAAAATTGCTTATGTCTAAACTTGTAACTAATTCATTGAGTTCAAGCAGTATCAAATAATTACAATTGAAATGGATTCATTGTTATTGCTGCTATAACTTTTTAATTGAACAAATGTTTAATGGTTTAATCTCTGAAGTTTGCTAAATCCTTTTGCAATCAATAAGCAACCTACATGTAACGCTTTTTATTAATTAAGCATCAAGTTGGTAATTTTGAAATCCAGTGTGGAGGAAGTTGTTTCACAATTTTTTGATGAACTGCGTAAATCACTGTATGGATTTACAATGTCAGGAGCAAGGCAAACAAATAAACAGAAGTGGTCATTGTAAATTTGGACACAAACATAAAAGAAATGCAACTGCTACTTCCTTTATCAGTGCTATGAAAATCACTTCAGTCAATACATTTGAACCAATAAATCCTTTTCCCCCTTTCATCTGAAACAGGAAGGCTATGGAGTGATAGTACTGAATCCGAATGAGAATTATATTGAGGTTGAAAAGACAAAAGCTCAAATACAGCCGTCTCCAGATAGCTCAGATGAACCTGCAGAAAAAAAAGAGAGAAAAGACAAAATTCCAAAAGATACAAAGAAGCGACGAGACTTCTATGAGAAGTACCGAAATCCACAAAAAGAAAAGGAAACGATGCAAGTCTATATTAGAGTAAGTTGATCTTATTTGTTTTGTTTTGATATTGAAGAACAGAAAACAGTTTTGTTTTTACTTATTTGCACTTTTAATATTATGTTTTAAAATGTGTTACTAAAACTAAAAAAAAATCTTTTAATAATTTATTATCTCTAAAAATGAAAATATATAGAAAAATGTGTTTAATTTCAAAGAGAAGCTTGAAATATCATTTCAAAAATAGTGATGTGAAATATAGTGTATGCAATGTTTTTTTAAGTAGACATGATTATTTAAAAATCTTTTAAAATATAGCTTTGTTTACAAGTTCACAAAGTATTATGGGAATAGGTTTTTGGGGAAATGGAGTAACATAAATTTCTATATTTTAATTTATTTGTCTAGTAAACTAATAACACAGTGGACAAAATGCTGATAATCTTATAAGATTATATCATTGACTTGTAATATATTGTTTCCATTTAGGGATGTCTGTAGAAGGATAAAGATAGTTACTAATATATTAATAAATATTTAAGTTAGAATCATTTAAGAACAAAGCAGTGAAGAAATTCTGTCCTTTTGGTTTAATCAATGAACCTTTGCAGTTTGTAATACTAGCTGCATAGGATTGTTGCATCAATGCCACCCAAGGATTTTTAATTCTTCAGAGGTACAAATAATAGTGCTTTATATACATATGACACATTATATATTCAGAATTCTTTACCATTGGGTAGTTGTTGAACAATGTCAACTGGGAGGGAGGGGGTAATCTTTAAAGTTTTGACAAGTGTTACTTATTACACTGGGTGAAGTAATGTATTGAGCAAATATAGCTTAGTAGTTAATTTTACAATGCATATTTTTTAAAACTGGAGACAATATTTCTAGGAATGAATGAATGAATGAGGATTGGAGAAAAAGCCCAAGAATATAATATTTCCATTTAAAAATAATTGGAAATGTTTTTCTTTCTTTTATTTTTGACAAATACATTACATAATAAATTATTCACTAGTCAATTCCACTCTTACAGAAGCTTTCTTTTTTGAAGGGACCATTGGGGTTTTTGTAAATTTGCCAGAAGCAAATTTCTATAGTATTAGGCCTGCAGAGAATTGGTGATATATTTAGTAGATATTAAACAATTGCTAATTTCTGCCAATTCCTACTACTCGTAGATAAACATCAGCCTGAGAGTTGGGCATATCCCACAAACCTTCTGGCATAATAGTTAGAAAAAGGCAAAGAAAAATAACAAATGTTAGTTACTATATGTATATATGACAAAGCAGCTCAAAGACTAGCCTCATGTGAGAAAAATCTGCTTTCTAAGCGTACACACTTAGCAGCTTTCATGTTCATTATTCAGAATTCCATATTAATGAAAGTTCATAATCATATTTATAACCATTACACTAAAGTACTGAAGTATCTAGCAAGACTTTTTCTGTGAAAAGAGTATAAATAACAGATAATGTATACCTTCTAAAGCTTTAAGAGCAAAGCTTGAAAAAGCAAAGTACGGTGCTTATTGTTTCAAGCTGCAACTTTTTTTTAACTATGACATAATGTACTTTGCCAATGTACTTATACTACAACTTGTTGAAGAGATTGATTTGGTCCCTGCAATAAACTTCATCTGACCCATTAAGGTAGAAAAAATTCCTTATATATTCTGTGCTAAGATAGTTTCTGTTTGAAATATCTGCCAGCTGCGCTTAGTAAGTCAAAGAAAAAGTTATGTTTCATAAAATTCTACGTTAGTGAGTTATTTTCTATACAAGAAAAATATTTCACATGTGATGTTTTAACTTAGACATTATGCATGTAATATATTCATATTCATTCCTGTTCTTATGGATACATTGCTTTATTCAGACCACAAGAGGTTGCTGCTGCACATTTTGGAGAACATCTCTCTCATTCACATAGAACCCAAGCTAGTAAATACTTAATTTTTTTTATTCATTGCTGAACATGAGGGAATGTGAAGATTTCCTTAGATTAAAATTATATGCTCATTTTCTCTTTTTTGAAGAGATTACTTCTGAGGCAAATAGCAGATTTCTAAACATCCTCTCTCTCAAAAATACTATAAAAAAGGTGAACCAACATAAAAACCTATAGCTCAAGGATCAGTCACATGTTTCTTTGTACCCTAACCATTGTATTTTAATATAACTTTTTATTTTCAAGATACTACATAGCATGAATTTTCTTGTTCTTCCTCCTACTATATTTCTCGTGCCCTCAAAATCTGCCTTGGAGGTTCTTTAGAAACCACAGTGTCCACTGATAGTACATTAGAATTTATAGGAAAAATTTCATCAAATTATTAAATGTTTAATTTTTATTTTGAGTTCTATTACAGGATTTATTTAAAAATAGACTGTTTTTAAATGTAAAATAATTTTAGGCACAAACATTCACAGAATATTAGAAAGGCATATCCAACCCATGATCCTAGGGCTGCATGCAGCCCTGGACAACTAGTAATATGGCCCACAAGATTGTAAACTTTTAATAATATTATGCATATTTATATACGTTATCTATATCAGGGCTTTTCAACCTTTTCACCCATTGTACCACTTGTAGGATATGGCAGCATCCGAGTACCACCAGTCGCCTAGCAAGATGTCAAAAACTTGATGACCAAAAAAAAAGGAAAAAAGTGATAAAGTACAGGTAGTCCTCAACTTACAACAGTTTGCTTAGTGACTGTTCGAAGTTACAATGGCACTGAAAAAAGTGCCCCCCAAGCCACAGCCGAGCAAGACACCTGCCTGCCCACCCAGCGGCGCTCTTCCTCCTGTCCGAGGTTTTCATTGTTGTGAGCATTTCTTTTGAGGATTGGCAGCGGGGGTGGGGTGGGGGGGTGTTTGGTTTTTATTCCCCCCATCTGCTGGGTGTTGCAGCAGGTTTTGGTCACTTCACATGACCCTGGGACACTGTGACCGTCATAAATATGAATCGGTTGCCAAGCATCTGAATGTAAATCACAAGACCCTGGAGAGGCTGCAACATTCCAGCTGATCGGCGCTTCTTCTGGGCTCAGCAGAAGAAGCGCTCACCAGCTGGAGCCTGGTGCTGATCCTGGCGCTTCCGCTGAGCCCTGACAGCCCTGCAGCTCCAGCCGTCTCTCGCTCAGGCTTGTGCGGTGCTGCCACCGGTTCAGCTCATTCCCCTCCCCCACTACTTTTCTAGGATGCTCGCGTACCACCTGCCAAGTGCCAATGTACCACAGGTGGTACCCGTACCACTGGTTGAAAAGCCCTGATCTATATTATATATTTTATGTGCGGCCCAAGACAATTCTTCACTCCATGAGACCCAGGCAAGCTAAAAAGTTGGATATGCCTGATATAAGACTTGGAAGAGGACTTAAAGTTGTTTAGTTTAATCTCATGCTCAGGGAAGAATCCATTAAATCATTCCCAATAAATAGCCATCTAGCTTGTACATAGCTATCTCCAACAATTAAAAATCCACCACTGTTCTAAGACTGTTCCACTGCTTATTAGCTCTTACTCTTAGGAAATTCTTCCTATTATTTCAAACCATTTGATCCTTGTCCTCTTGCATTTTTACAGAATATAGACCTATCCCTTGGAACCTTTTCATTATCTTTAGATTGCTCTCATATCTCTTCTTAACCAGCTCTTTTGCAAGCTGTCCAGATCCATTAATTATTCCTTCTAAGCTTGGTTTTAAATACCTTATTCTGGTATTAATCCTCTGAACATTGTTCCCTACTTCCCTACTAAAGTGTTGTACCTGGGATCTACCACATTATCATAAATCCAAAATCCACTATATGATCATGTCCTAACCAACACAGAGTAATTATTTCCCATGATTTAGATTCATGTTAGCATTTAGGCAGCTGAAGATGTCATAGACATTTTAGTTGCTGCCTTATACCCTATATCTTCAGCTTAGTCCACTAGTATTCTTCTGATATGCACTACTATCAAGCCAGTTCTCAACATCTCTGCACCAATACATTTGACCTGTGATTGCTAATGTCACCTGTTGGAAATGACCCAATTACAAGCCTTTTGAACTATGTATATATTGTCTGGGTTGTTAGCCAATTTCTGTAGTTTAATGTCTTCTACGGATTTGATACCTTTCCCCTCCAGTTTCTATAAAAATATTGAATAATCCTTGGCCAAGGATGGTAGCTTGATCCTTCCCTCCAGGACAATGCAGAAGTACTTAAGAACATGCTTGGTATGGTTGTTCAAGCAGTAGCAAGTTTCCTAGATGACAGTACCATACAGCCCACAAATATGCATTTTTTTCACAAGAGTATTGTGAGCAGCCTTGCCAAATTCTTTATTGAAATCAAGACGTATTACATCCATAGCATTCCCTTAGTCTACCAAACGAGTCAATTCTCTAATGGAAAGAAATTAACCTAGTTTGGCATAATCTGCTCTTGACAAACCAAAGCTAATTCCTAGAACGATAGCATTCTTTTCAAAATTGTTGTAGATACATCTTAAATGTGACATTAAAACAAACACATTGATAGAGAATAGGATTGTGCAACACATTCAGAGAAGACAGTTCTAAAAGCATGTTAGTACACACAAAAAACTTCTTCAAAGCATTAAATGAGCTGCATTCTTGGAAGACTGCTTAAAAATGAGCTTTAAACATGTACCAAATATAAACTAGAGAAGAAACAAAAATTAAATTAAATTAAGGAAACTGATAAAAAGTTATTGTAGGGATTTATTTGAGAGACAGAGTTTTGCATGACAGACAGGTAATAACTTCAGGGAGAAAAAAACGTGAGAAAGATGAAATAAAGAAGTGCCAAAATTAAACTGTAGTGGGTATTAGGCAGAATTGGAACTTCATGATAAAAATATATATCTACTGTATAAGCAGCTTGTTTCTAGATGTAGTAAAGATTTGCATCTAGCCACACTGTTGTCTGTTGGAGAGCCATAAGCTAAGTATAATCCTAGAGCCTAGCCAACCCATGCCATACCAAGCATCCAGAAAATTCTCCTGAG